TATGCATCCTTTTGCGCCTTTGCCGTTGCAAAAATTAACCTCGATAAAAAAGTTGTCCGGACTGAACCACGAGAAGACAAATTCATCAAGGTACACCAGAATGTCTTTAGTGCAATTTTGGCTGCCTAGTTAGTAATAATCTACTTCTTTGTCCTAGAATAACGTTTTAAAGAGTACAGCAATATTGTCGGAATACTAGAGCTCATACAGAATTCTAGTAGTATTATTTCAAAATTCCGTTCTTATTTATTTTTTATATTACTACCCCCAAAAGAGGCTATTAATTTCGAAATGGGATTTTGCGTCGAATCACTATAAACGCATCGTTTCACTGTTGATTCGAGTCTGTTGCCATTCGGCAAAATGCAAGATGTTTATTTTTCCAATTGAATCTGTGTCTTGTGATTTAACAATTGAAGTTATTTGAAAACAATAATTCGTTACTTACTTTTGAATAGAATTGATTTAAACAGTAAGAATACATATAATTCATGATCTGGTTAATTAAAAGCATTATTATTTTCTTAGAATGAAGTTATATAATTTTTAGCACAAAAAGGCGTTAGACCCAAAGAGCCCTATTAGTCTCGAAACGGCATTTTGCATCATTTCACTTTCTGCGTTGATTCACTTTTCAAACTGTTGCCACCAAATATTATCGCCATGTATTATGTTTAAAAAAAGTAAATAATGAAGAATCTGCATGAATGAATTTCTCGCATTGCGAAAAAACAACGGTACCTGGAGGCCATCAAATTTTGAATAGCGTAGTCCTTCAATCGAATATGGGCACTTGGAAGCCTGACTTTTCAATTTCGAATTTGTTTTATTATCTATTTAAAATTTTGTTAAACGTAAACGAATTTTTGATTAACAAACTCAACGATTTCAAAGCGAGCAATGGCAGCACTGTACGAAAAAAAAAAATTATCTCCAGCGCTCGAGATTGTGTATCGGAAATCCTAAAGATATGTTGTTTTTAAATATTTTGTGATCTTGCTGTTGAATTGAATTTTATGTGGTTTAAGTGCGAGTAATCTTATTTAATAAGGGTAACATACAAAACGTTGAAGAAAACGTCCTTTTGGGTGTAATATAAAATATGAAAGTTGTTAGATTTTCTTTTTTTATTATTATTATTTTTCTCTATTTTGCAAAACTTTAATGAAATTTTGATTAACCAACTCAATGATTTGAAAACCAACAGCAACAACATTGGTCGGAATAAAACATTTTCATCTCTAGAGCGCGAGACTGTGTGTCGAAAATTCTGAAGATATGTTGTTTTTAAATATTTTGTGATTTTGTGTGGTTTTTCAGCTTTGTGTGGCGTACGGGAGAAAATAGCGCAGCCCTAGCGCTACTTAAATTTTTAAATTGTTGATCATTCTACAACTATTGCATGCTGATTAAGTAAGGGCATAAACCCCTTAAGCGAAGCACAATAATAGCATAATTCAACCGCTTTTAAAGCAAATTATGCAGTATTTACCAACGTATAAGAAGAAAAATACTGAGCTCACCGAGCCAGGTAACAGGCTGGGGATATATATATATATTGCTTGGGGCGGCCGATTGCATTGAAAATGGTTGGTGCACAATTGCAAGTCATAGCAATCCCATATACAAATTTCAAAGTTCTACGGCCACTCGTTTTTGAGGGATGCGAAATACATACATACGTACAGACGTTAAGAAAAAATCTCTTCTGAATCCACTTTAATCCATTTCACACTCCGTTTCGGAAGACAAAGAGTCCTTCATTCTAATCCGAATGTACAGATGTCACTCAAACGCTCGACGCGTATTCGAGAGGTTCTTAGTTCGAGTCCCGACTAGAGCACTGTTCATTTTTCATCTCTCCTGCTGCGAAATAACCTAATGACTCTACAACCTCATTTCAAAGAGTTGCCATGTGTTAGGAATACTCTCATGTTTATTTACAAGTTTACGTGGCAAATATTTCAGTCTGGCTTTCTGGTCATTTTTCTGTCTTGGCGAAATCTCCACCATAAAAGTGTCTATACGTTTATACAAGTGAATCGCCGTACGCCCACATTTCCTCGCATAAAAGTGTCCGCAACCTTATAAAGACGATATTATAATAAAATTCAGTTCATAACTGGAAAAAAGCACTTTTCATCAAGACGTTTCATCCATTTTTAAATTATCGATTTCAGATGACAAGGCGGACCCTATACCCACTAGGACCTCCTGAAATTTCCCGAATTCCTGGTAAGCCCATTCGCGCCTGGCTATGAGGAGAATGAAGTTTGAGCTGAGAACTAGAATTTGAACATGTGCGTTACAAAGTTGACGAGAAGGTTTAAATATTACAAAGTTTGAAAATGCACTGCTAATATTACTTTCGCTTCTTTTAAACATTTTCAAATCTCTTCTTTATTTTTACATTATTTAAATCATCTTGATAATACCTAAATATATCGCATAGTTATATGACGTCGAAAGAAAAATCTACGCTCATTTTAAGAATGACTGATTTCCAAACTCTACCCTTTTCTTCATCATAAGGCTAGATTCTCTCTTCTAAATTCTTTTTTAAAAGGCGCTATAATCACTTTTACCCTTTCGAGTAGGACTTGCTTATTAGAAATAGACCTAGTGTGTGCAATCCCAGACTGTTCATCACAAAATAAAAGTGTCGCTTACGTACGTTTGTTTGGATCCAGCATAAATCTGCATGGAATACGTGCAATACATAATGTGCATGAGCTCTATATGTTTTACTCGTTGCTTAATTTATTTTCATTCTAATTTACCTACGGTATTCACATAAGCCATGCCAGAAAGGCATTTTCGAGGTTCAAGCAGAGCATAAATCTACCACCTTTTAAAACTATGGTTAGAACTATTAAAACGTCTTATTTAAAGTAACTTTTAACAGATTCGGGGCCTCGAAAGGGCTTCCATGTTGTTCGCTCTTTAATTTGGCGCTGTGTGTGAGTATATTAGAAAAAATCAAACTTTACACCGTGTTCACAAATGGCCTTCTTTCCCTGGACTTTATTTTCGGAACAGTTTGTTAGAGATATATAATTCCAGTCGATGTAAACATTCGTGTTTTGGTATTTGGAAAAGATCTCAATTCCAGATTTTAAATTACGTCCCAAAGGGGCATTTTTTTCATCGTTTTGTGTGTTACCTTTATTTATTAAATATCATATTCTACGTGCTCAAACATAAAATTCAGTTCAACAGCAGTATCGCAAAATAATTTTAAAATGAGTATATCTTTAGAATTTCCGATACAGAATCTCGCGCGCTGGAGATAAAAAATGTTTTTTTTTTTTCGTACAGTGTTGCCATTACTCGCTTTAAAATCGCTTAGTTTTTTAATCAAAAATTCGTTGAAGTGTTACAAAATATGAAATCGATAATAAAACAAATTTCAAATTCAAATTAGGGCTTCCATGTGACCATATTCTGTATTATTCAAATTTTGATGGCTCTACGTACGTAGATTTTGATGGCTCTAGGTAGATTTCAATGGCTCTAGGTAAATTTTGATGGCTCTAGGTTTTATCACAATGCGAGAAAAATACATACATTCATGCAGATTTTTCATTATTTAATCCTTTAAATATAATACAGGGCGATAATATTTGATGGCAACAATTTGAAAAGTGATTCGCCGTTTATAGTTTTCAACGCAAAATGTCAAAACGAAACTAATTGTCCTTCAGAGCAAATTGCCCCTTTGGACTAATAATAATATTAATTATTTATAAAACATAACTTAAACTTTTTTGTCCGTTTCCTATGCTCATGTTTAGGAAATATTTGCTCTCGTTTTAAAAAACAAAACACAAAAAATGTAATTCCCATACAACAACTACTAACCGAGTTATTTGATATCCTGAAAGTCAGAGCTCATATTCAGGGGCTTTACACAAATTGAAGTGCGAAATGTTTGTATTTGTACGTTTTGTACATAATTAAAATAAAATATCAAATTATGTGTTTTTTTTTTTTTTTTTTTTCTTAATAGAGATGTTATTTACAGAATCTTGAATTCGTTTTTTAGAAAACACTGTCGGGCTTCAATATTGGCACGTAGCCAACTCGTAATATTTGCATTGATTAAAAGTGATACATATTTGTAGTTTAATGAATTTTTTATATGATTATTAGGTTATGAAAAATTAACTGACTCCCAATGCAAATTGAAAATGACTTAAAATGTCACAAAGTGTTTAATTAAATATCTCGGTCAATTTTTTTCGTGCGGAAGTCAAACCGTTTGTGTTAATTTGTTTATAATAAGTACAACCTTTTCGTGAAGATAAATATGAGGATTGGTGAAGAGTATAAAAAATTAGATTTCGTAATTTTTATTAAATTAATCTCTTCAAATTTAAAAATGCTAAACGTGAATTTAATAATTTTTTGTAGCTGGAAGTATATGTCTACAACCAACAGCTGCGAAAATAAAAAACTGGATTTTTGTGAACGCGGTGTACGTATATGAATCATTTTTCGTAAGCTACATCCAGTATTTTGTCGTGTTTTTATCAATTTAATGAATAAAAAGCAAGGCGTAATAAAAATTTCACCTCACTTATGGTAAAGAGTGGCGTCATAAGTGTATTTGAAAAACTCTTACATAAATTCTTAAGTAGTTTCTCGTAAATAATAGTACTCTGAGTCAATGGAAAATCTCTCCTTGCAAGCAAAATTCCGAAAGGTCAGCTCTTTGACAATTACGTTTAAAAATTGTTTTTATCTGATGCATCATTATCTGAGCCATCAAGCTGTCTTGAGAGTTAGAAACATTCGTCATTGCGAGAAAGTTTTGTTTCGGTAAAACCCGTTTCTGAACGACCTTGCGTGGTCATTATAAAATTTCTTTGTATTTCTGTCTCCTCAGACTTTTAATTCCCCCTAACCTTTTTGAGCCCCAGAGGTGGTTGATGCATGGCCTTGTCTCCCGAAACAGATGCAATAAATGCTGCACGTGACGTACATTGTGCTGCCTTTCGTAAACCAAACATAACAGCAGAATGCAGTAGAACTAGTCAATTGCAATGGAGCATAAGTTGCACTGGATTACCGTCGCCGCTAATGGAATAGTTATTCGAAGGATGTGCTCTTGAATTTTAACATCTCTATCAGCTGATAGATATCGATGTTGTTTTCGGGGATTTTTTTTATTTCTAATTGAAGAAGGGTATGTAACGTTAATTTTTATTTTGGATTTGTGAGTTCGTTTGCTCTTTTTCCTTGCTTCATGTGATATAACAATGTGTTAATGCTATTGTTTCCGCGCTATTAAATTTAAAGATGGAAAAGTGAAGGAAATTTTAGTAACCCTTTTAGGTGTATTCATTAAAACGTTTAAATTTATCCAAAAAACTAGTTTGATTGTTTTTGATGCAAATGAAATACATATATATTACTCGTTCATTCATCGCTCACTTTATTTTTTAAAATTAGTTAAATTGAATTATTTCCTTATACAAAAAACAATTTTTAGAGGTTTCAAAAATTAATTTATTTTCTAAAGATTTAGATAATCACAACAGCGTACTTACATATAGTTTCTTGGGAGGGAGGGGTGAAGGAGAGAAGAGCAAGGTAACTGAAAACCTGCAAATACACGTATGAGCTGAATACTGTAAATATAGTTTAATATATAATTCTATGTTTTAAAAATTAAAAATTTCTTTCAGTGTAAGCAATTTACGTAACAGTTATAAAACTAAGTGCTTTAAAAAAGGAAATTACACTTTACAAGCAATTTACGTAAAAGTCATAGTATCGAAATAGGTGAAAAAATATAATAATTTTAGCTTAAATATTAATAAAATTAAGCTAAGCTTGTAAAGTTTGGAATTAATTTAATTTGCTAAATTATTGAAATTAATGTATTGTATTGTAATTATATTGAAAATGGAACTCTCTAACAGTAGTTTACAAAATATTATTATAGCCCTCCGTGTGTACTCGTGATGTAAGTGGTAGCACATCAAGCTAGCAAATGGAAGATCCGTGGTTCGAATCCCGGCGAGAGCATAGCTGGTTTTTCCCGTTTCCAGTGTCTCTACAGTGGCGCTCGAGTTAAATGTGGTAGACCATAATTCGTTACAACTTATATTTTCCGATCTCCGTTGGAGCTGTTCTGAAAAGCCGTGTAATTGTCAGCACTTAACCTCTCTGGATATAGTTCAATTTATTATCCTTAGCAGCTCCGCCGCCCTGACGCCCCATGCTCCAACTCCATTCATTATCGTGGGGACTATAACACATTCATAAATCTGTTTCATTGTAGTATTCTTAGTAGTCAGAATCATGCCGGAAAACGATCTCTTATAATACTGCAAGATAGAATCGGTCTTTTCATGAATTATATCAAAATGTTCATTATATGATAATTTTTCATCAAAATAACGCCCAGGCATTTTAAGTCTTTTTCCAATTTTACTCTCTCACCTTTATATCGCAGCTTTGGATATATGGTCTGTTTACCTCCCTTTGCAAAGAATAATACCTTAGTTTTGGCTATATTAAGCTTCAACTTTCTGTTCAGACGCCATTTTTCAAAAATTTCAGAAATTTCAGAAAATACTCTTTCGATCTTCTCTTCTACATTTTAGCGGACATTCTGCCCCTCTCGTTGTCCTATGATTTTTTATTAAGATCGAGTAAGACTGACTTTTATCCTTATACAGATGATTTTGTTTTTAATACTGGTTTTTAGACTTTTAATTATCATCTTTTACATCTAAGAGAGAAAGGATCAATAAGTTTTAACAAACTTATACCTGATTTGAATGATATCGATGTTTATACTGGCGGTTCGGGGTTGGAGGAGAAAATAGGACTGGCTTTTGTTGTATACTATCCTGGATTAGAAACTGGACATAAGAATTTTAAATTGGAAAAATACAATTCGGTGTATCAAACTGAACTGATAAGCCATACAAAATGCTCTGGAGTGGTTTGTGAGAAATTTGAATGAATCGCATGTTATTACAATACATTCTGAATGCATGTCAGTACTTCAGGCTCTCTCCGACCCCAAACAACAGAACCTAAATATTCAAATTATAAAAAAGTCGGAGAGGGCTGATGTGTTGGCAAGGGAGGCAAAAATAAGCAAAGACATCAAAATTATCGATATTCAAGCCTCCAGGGAAAAGAGTGTCAATATCATGAAGTGTTTATCGAGAAATGGAGATCACATTGGGAAATCTCTGAGAGAAACACATCATTTTTGAAAATATTTGTGCCTAAAAAAGATGAGTGTTATATGTGACATTGACTTGAACCAGTTGATTACAGGTCACGGGAGATGCCCCTCATATTTAAAAAAGTTTCATATTCAATATAGTGATCTATGTCGGGTATGCAAAATGGTTGGAGATAATGTACATTTTACTACAGAACGTGAACTTACTAGGCATACAAATGGAGCAAATGCGGCCCTAATGGAGAAGAGCCTCTTTAATGCAAGAAGAATTGCAAAAGAAATCATGAAGATAATTAACAATAAGAAGGAGGCCATTGGCATTGTGTGATATGGTGTTTGTGTATGTGTGACTGTGTTAACTATTTATAACTTTTTTTTTATTATTTTATTTTGGTTTATAATGCACCATTCTGATTAGTTTCGATTATTTTATGTTTCTCTTCTTTCTTTTTGCGTTATGAAAATTATTCAGCAGCCATATAATAAAACGCTAGCTGAACGTATTTCTTGTGTTTCCTTGGTTTGTTTTTTCTAAACCTTTTTTGTTACTCGGGTTCGCGGCTTGGTTTCCCGGTGCTTAATTAGTGAAAATTTAAAGTTTGTTTATTTTGCTTCCTTTTACGACGCGGCTGGGCCCCTGGATGTCCTTGTTTGGCGTTTTGAACCGGCGCAGCTCATATATGGACATAGGGCAAATTTCATTTGCAAGGTGGTCCGTGCTGCGCCCTAAGTCTACCACTTATATGTGGTCGACTGAATCTTGGCCTTTCCCCAATCTTTTTTATGAAATTCATTTTAAGCAGTTGGCCGCCACACAGCGGATAGGTTTTAACGACATAATATAGCGAATATAAAAATATGCATGGCAACCTTTAACACTGTATCGGGAATTCTAAAGATACGCTCTCTTTAAATAGTTTCTGATTTTGCTGTAGAATTGAATTTTATGTGGTATAATAATAGTGCGAAGAATGTAATAAATAAAGTTCACATATAAAATAATAATAATAATAAAAAAATGTGAGCCAACTTATTAAGAAAATTGAATATTGATATGATAAACTGAGAAAAGACAAAAAATAGAAAAATACCCTTATGACAACACATAACACTGCACTGGGAATTATAAACATACTATGCTGCTTTGCAGTTTTTAAAAGTTTAGCAGTTTTCTCGTTGAACTGCATATAGTGTGAGTCGAAGAAATAATAAAGCTAAAAAGCCAAAGAAAAATATGTATTTTAGCAGGAGTGAGTGAAACAGCAGACTGGTAGATTGTGAGTTCAGCGAGAGAGTAGAAAACTTAAACAAATCCTTGTGGGCGGCCGTTAAAATCTGAAACCTTTTTATTTTATTTTCTATTATTATTTTTGTATTATCATATATCTTTTCGTTATTTTTAATAATTGAATTTAAATTTAATTTTAAAATACAAACGCGACTAGCATCAAATTGGAATAAGGTTTACTTATCGTCTGCAGCCTTAAAAATATTCTTTTCCTTAAAATGTCGCCGAAAAATAAACAATGGATCGAAGGCTATATTTTTGCGCTTTCCGAACAGAAATACTCTTATTCAATTATTGAAAAAAAAAAAAAAAAAAGCATGGTTTTAATGTTTCTACGCGTAAAATAAGTTACATAATTAATAATGAAAAGACAAAAATATCACTGGAAAAAAACGCAAAAAATACATACCCAACAAAAGATACGTACGGCTCTTATTAAATCTCAAGTCGCATCTCATATTTTAAAGGAAAATCCAGCCTCCCAAACAGCGTTTGAAGAATCTTTAACTATCTCTATAGGAACTGTGAAAAAATTGTAAAATCTGATTTAAAGCCTATCAAATAAAAAAAAAAAAAAAAAAAAAAAAAAACATGATGTTCATCGCCTAACGCCGAAACATGTTTCTCGGCGTAAGACTATGTGCAGATTGCTATCATTTGGCGAGTGAAAAATATAAATATATAGTTACAATTGATGAAGCTCTGATATACCCTCTGACTGTAATAGAAAATATCGATTTACTGCTGAAAAAGCGAGAAAAAGATTTAATATGGTGATTCAGAGAAAGCAACGAAAGTTTTTCTAAAGGTTTTTAAGCTTATGACTCGGTTTTCTTATAACAGAAAATTAAAATACGGAAAGTTAAAAAAAATATCAAAATTAATTCGGATTACTATCAGAAATATGTTTTAACAGCTATTTTTAAAGAAGAAATTCCATCTCTTTATGCAAACAATCTTCACTTTGTTAAGTTCCATCGGGATAAGGTTCCAAGGCAAATAAGAAATGAAACCGCAATTGAAGCTATCCTCTTTAAACGCATCCTACCAAAGTCCCCTGATTTGTCTCCTACTTGGACTTTTAAAACAAGTTGTTTATAAGCGGCATCCCAAAACATTGTGAAGGAGGAGTAAAATAAAGATTGTGAAGGAGGAGTAAAATAAAATCAACCTTGATGTTTTAAGAAAAGGGCATTTATCTCGGAAATCAAGATGTAATATGATAGTTTAACAAAAGGGCTTTTATATTGAACATATTAGAAAATAAATTCTAAGCTTTGCTTATATATAAATCTTTGCAAAACCGTTACAAAAATGTTTGAACACACTCTCTCTCTATATATATATATGCATCTAGCCACGCGAACGACTAGAATTTTAAAATATTAAGGATTTGAACATCACACATGTCATGTATTAAATGTACGTATGTACTTTTTTTTTTTTTTTCAAATATCCAAGTTGAATTTCCAAATTCCAAACGATTCCATTTTTATTCAAATTCCAAATTCCAAACGATTTCCATTTTTTATTCGTTTGTTTCAAATATCTAAATTGAAATAAACGAATAAAAGTGTATTTGTGTAGTCTAAAATATATCATTAGGCAACAATTATTTGATCGTTATTATTATTACCTTTGCAGACGCAAGATTTAAAAAGGAAAAAGTTCCGCATTTTTATTTCACTAG